AATGGATGGATGGATGGATGGATGGATGGATGGATGGATGGATGGATGGATGGATGGATGGATGGATGGATGGATTGTTTGTAAGCAGAACCCTGCTTCAAAAGAGTTGAACTTTCACTTTAAGATTTTTGACAAATATTGTAGAATCATAAATTCAGAGTAATGTATTATTTTTAGTAAATTTAAAAAAGAAATTTCAAAACAAATGGGTGAACACCATGGCAAGAATTTTTACAGAAGCTAATTATTCAAATACATTTCTTTTTTGAGTCAACATTTAAAAAAAAGTCCAGGGTGATAAATACCGTATTTAAATGCTAACATGTCCATTCCTTTCAAATTATGCACATAACATCCAGAAATGACAACTAATGGCTGCTTTTTCCGTTGGCAACATAACCCTGTTATTATCTCTGTATATAAAAAAACATGTGTTTTGTATCTCAGATGTCCTAAATAATAAATAAACCATATGTGTTTCATCAYAGAACTGCTTTTAACGTGTGCAATTCCTGGTTCATCCCCCCACTCCCACACCCAGCGAGGGTGCCCCCCCTGAGTGCTGTATGGTTGCAGCTCTCCGAGGAGGACCTGATGCAGAATTACATGGAGCCGCTGAAAAAGCCTTTGTCACTTTAAATCCTCACCGCATCTCAGTCGATGACATCATTGTCTGAGAACACATTACATCACCCCTTCCCAGGCTCTCTCTTAAAGACCAGACCACCTTATGTTTACTGAGCCACACAAACACACACGTTTATACACACAACCACACTCATCTGTTTRCAAATGGGATGTCGCTATTAGCATGAACATTAACAACAGACTTATGTTTAAGCAGCTCATAATCACATAGAGCTGACATCATTAATGTGATACAATTATTCACTTTATGGATGCTTTGCAGTAACTGAGCACTTTTGGGGTGCACTTCTCACCAGACTGTGACACACTAAGTTCATGTTATATGTGCACACAGAACAACGGGGAAAGGGGCAATAAAGATATTATTATTAATTGTTATTTGTGGACTAATAATTTTGGTGTTTTCAGCAGATTTTTTTTTTATTAATAATTAACTATTTGTTTGATAATCACATGAGATGTACCCACTTTCATAGTTTGGACCTCATAACTGCAGCTTTAATC